GTCCTTTTTTTTTGGGAAAATGCCAAAAATTTGGGTCAGTCAGACGACGCTAAACAGAGAAAAAAAAAGAGGATTGCCTAAAAGATAAAAAATATTATTTTTGGGAAACTTGTTAAAGAAAACTTATTAGTATTAAAGGGTGTTAGTAAATAGAGTAATGCAGTAACGAGTGACAGAGTAACGAGAAAACGATTAACAGGATAAAAATTCAAGAGGTTAAGAAAATAAATCAACCATTCCTAATGAAAGAAAAAACATAAAAATGGTTGTAATATCCTAATAATGATCTTTACCAATCTCAAAAAATATGTGTATTCCAAAAAGTGCTTAAAACAACGACGTCAACCCCTCACTTCTCCCTCCAGCAAGGTCGAAGGTATTTTCGCGTTGAAAAAGTCACCTGCCTATGGTTGCCTATGGTAGTGCAGGTTACAAGCACCAATGAAATAAGAGGTTTGGATGGGTGTAGGTCAAATGGTTATTTTCTCACAGCCACGAGGAGGCCGAGGAGCAACCATGCATGGAGGAAGGTGAGGTACAGATTTTCTTTCTGATTACCACAATTATTTCATTTCGTATAAGAAAAAGCTCTGTCAGGAAAATCAAAATAATAGAACCTTGTTGGGCCCTTATTAAGGTTACCAACTAACCAATTAAAAGTACTCGATTGCCAAGGCTAATAGAAACAGTTTGCTCGTTTATTACTCCCGGGGTCATTACCGGCTTTCCTGCTCAACTTTCAATGTCTAGCAAATGTCTTTTAACTCCTCTCGAAAATATGGGATTCAACTTAATACTACCTTCCAAAAGCTAATTATAGTGAACTTTTCTACCGGTTTAAAAGGAATAATTATCATAAATCATGTTTAAAAATAACCTCCCGATGTAAAGACTCTGAAATAGAGTGCAGAGCCAGACTAGTTTTTAGATCGATTTTCAATTAAGTAAAGTAAAGAAACATTTAAATGGATTGGTTCGCTCGAAGTTGCATTTAACATCAATCAATGCAGAATAACCGAAACATTGTTACTGCCAGGGCATGAAATTAACTCTTTTTCTGTAGGATCCACTTGGCTACTTAATATTTCAAAGTGGTAGCCAATTCCATAAGTCAAATAAGTCCTGAATCCCCAGAAAAAAAAACATAAACAAAACAAAACAAGAAGAAACAAAACAAACAAGGAGAAACAGCGGTTTACTAGATGCTATATTAGAGCTGAGATCCTCCAAATCGACAAGTTTTGAACCCAAATGATTCTAGCAGGTAATCAAAGTAAGCAAAGAGGACCCCTACATATCTACTTGGCATTCGCCAGCAACAGAGTTTTCTAGTGAAACATGTGCCATTTTGCATGATCGTCATACAGACATTGGTGCTTGTATTAGTTGCAATTTCACGCCCTGGTAGCATGCAATTACATGAACTCTTTGTGACGCAAATTTTAATTTGTTAAGCCTGGGCTTAATGGATGGCTTAAAGGCAGCTACACCTCTGTCAGTGCTGAATTCTGTCAGGGACTTTTCCACTTCTGGTCACGCTTTGGCAAACTTTAAAAATAAATATTGGGTGTGTTATAAGAAACGCCTGAGTTAAGATAACAACAACTAACAGTATTTTGAAATCGTAGAAGAGCCCTCATTTCCACTTCCGTGTTCTCCCACTTATGATCCCTTCGGGAAAGGAATGATCGTGGGTGGGGGTGTTGATGTCGTTGTTTTAAGCACTTTTTGGAATACACATATTTTTCGAGATTGGTAAAGGCCATTATTAGGATATTACAACCATTTTTATGTTTTTCTTTCATTAGGATTTATTGATTGATTTTTTTATCCTCTTGAATTTTTATCCCTTTACTCGTTTTCTCGTTACTCCTATTACTCATTACTCGTTACTGTGTTACTCTGTTTAGTAACACCCAGTACTGAATAAAACATATGTCGATACTGTCGATAATCGATTGATAATTATATAAAAGCGGAGATGGCTACAAAGGAGCAGAGATCAATAACCATTCATGATAGGTTTGTAAACAAACTTCGTAACATACGAGACCTGGAGAATAACACATCGTTTGACACGAGTGGCTAGAGATGAAATGGTTTGGGATCGAAATTCGGCTAAAATCTATCTTTGAACAGATAGGTTCAGTTCCTCCAACGGTCGACAAATTCTTTTTCAAATGGATAGCATCCGAACGGATAACAATTTTTTGAAACGGATAACCCAAGCCGTTCAAAGGGATAACAATTTTTTGAAACGGATACCCTAAGCCATTCAAACAGATGACAATGTTTTCCAAACGGACAGCCCAAGCCGTTCAAATGGATGACATTAATTTTTTTTTTGAAACGGATAGCCCAAGCTGTTCAAATGGACGACAGTTTTTTCCAAACAGATAGCCCAAGCCGTTCGAATGGACGACAATTTTTCTGGAACGGATACCTCGAGCCGTTTAAACAGATACCAAATCTCTTCAAAAACAGCAAAACATTTTTCAAACATAGATTACTAGTAATCAGAGGCACCCAATGTCAATTTTCCAAAAATATCTGTTCGGAAGACGATTTGAGATCTAGAATTTTCGGAACATTTGTTGTAAAATTTCTTGCTTGCCTACCTCTCCTGGGATTTCAAACATCTAAAAAATGGTATACATGCCCATTATTTTTTTTAATGGATTTTTTTACCCTAAAAAGGTCACCTAGAATTTTCGGGAGCCTCTTTTTTTGGCTGAAATTTTCAAAAAGGTAAGATTTGGTCCCTATAATTTTCGGATCACTAAACTTTCAGCTAGGAAATCCGAACAGATGAAAAATTTTTAGGGATAAAAATATGCCTATATCTACAATTTAAATACTAAAATATGTTTAACAATGCTATGTTTAAGTGGCTGAACTATACTCTCTTTGTGTGCCCTGAGTAATTAAGATGGTCTTCTTTTATAAAAATATCCACAAAACAATGCTTCCTTTTTTAATAAATGGAGAAAAAAATACTAACCTCCCGCTTTCCCCCTTGCCCCTTTCCAAAAAATTTGAGATCCCCCCAAAATCCTCTGCCCCACCCCTCCCCATAGAGTTTTAGCTTATTTCAGTTATTTATTTTAGTTATTTATCAACAGAACAATGACCTGCACTTGCGACCTGTGACCTGTGACGTGTATTCTGTACCTGCCAAATTTCATGCTTCACCTTAATTTGTACCAGATCTCCTAAATTTACTTGATGATTTAAGCTATAAGCTTAATCCTTTAACTACCATCACCAATATTACTTTCTTATGAGACCATCGCTTTCTGCGAAATAGTCTAAAATTTAAGCTTAACTTAAACTACAATGTAATCAAACATAAGCTTACCTCACAAGACCCGTGAAAGATTTTTCACGACTTCTGCCATGCCAAGTGCGAGACTCTTTGGATAATGAATAAAGCCAGGTGTTCACGAGTAAGTAAAAGAACTGCTGAAGCTCAAATCCGAATTCCAGAAGTCTAATTATGTTACTTTAGATCCAATTCACTTCACGCGTAAACTAACTTCAATAATCCGTCGCCACATTGGTGTCTTTTAGAACCCAGTCTCTCGATTGGCGCATGTATCTCGCGCGGGCTTTTGCAGCACTCGTTTTGCGTTTCTCCAGTACTCGTAAAACGCGCTTTATGGCGCGGGCGGTCAGGAAAATAAACATTTTCATGCTTATTACTTGTCCATGAACTTTCGCGAGTTATGAGCGAGACTATAGTAAATATTACTTCTAACAGTGACGAGTACTTCAACTGAGTAATGAAACCAAGTCCACCATCCTCAAAGCAGTAGAACGGTATCATGTTCACTACACAGTAAGAAAGATCTCTGGGCGATGCCGCGATGGCATGTCCCGTGGCCTACACCACCCCTAAAGAGAGCTATTTGAAAAAAGCATTGTTATATCGCAAAGCAAAGCAACTCCAGACCCACGAAAAAACAGAAAGGCAACAAAAATAAGAGCTTATTGGTTGAAAAATGGTGACGTCACGGAAGTCGTTTCCCAGCTCGGGATAGTAGTATAGAGAGGATGCTTTCCACCTCAACTCAAACCATATCATATTCCCCGCCTAATTTCCCTCTTCCTCGATAAACTCGTTCCGATTATTTCAGTCATATTTTTAAACTTCGCTCCATCAGCTCGCTCGCCTCGGTTCGCTCCAGTCAGTCGCTATCGCTCCCTCTTTTGCTCTCCCTCAGCTCCACTCGCTGTCGCTCAGTTTAAAAATATTCCGTCAATAATCGAACTCGCTTTATATCAGAAGGGAAATTAACCAGGGAATATGATATGGTTTGAGTTGAGGTGGAAATCATCCCCTCTATACTACTCTCTAGTAATTGAGTTAGAAAAAATAAAATTAAGGTTTAAAGAAATAATATTAAGTAATTATATAACAAAATGTCCACTGATTTAAGAAATCTTTCCATTGCTGAATTAAAAAGTATTAAAAGAGATAGCCACCAAAACTCAAGGAGTATTCAAAATATAAGAAAAAACAAAAGTTGATTGCTGATATAGCGAATCTAAAAAAAGGAATAGAAAAAATCAATCCCAATTCCAAACCCAAATCCGATAAAATCAAAACATTTGAGGACTACTTTCAGGAGTGTATCAAAAATAAAACAATTCCTCCCGATACTCCTTCTTATCTTCGTAAAGCTCTTGAACGAGCTCTTAAAGAATATGATCAAGGAATTATAAAAGAGAAATCAGCTCTAGGTGAATTTGCTAATAAATACATGATCAAGGGAGAACCTGGTATTACTCCATTCGAATTCTTTAGATCTAAATCCCCTTATTTAAAAGATTTCTTACGAAATCATCGAAATGTAAAAGTTAGATTTATTTTAGTTTGCCTAACGGAAAAAATGGATGGTAACCAAAAATTAAATATTACAGTTCAGGATAAAGCATATTTTCATTCAGATACTCATATTAATCTTTTTTCAACCGATGTGAGAGAAATACTTGATAAAGTTATTCATACCATCCTTGAAAAGATTAGTATATATCAGCAAAATGGTAGTGGGTGGTATTTTAAAGAAGTTCTTCATCTTGAAATTCACACTGTTTTTTACAAACCAATGAGATCTTGAAGATCTCAAATAACATCAAGAACAAATGGTAAAATACATATTTGTAAGAGATGTTTTACGCACTTCTCAAGAGAACATTTATTTCAGAATTATATCAAATATTGCTCATCTAATGAAATAGTTGCAGTTAAATTGCCTCTAAGAAACACAAGATTACGTTTTCAAAACTATTCTAAACAACTTCCAATTCCTTTTGTAGTTTATGCTGATTTTGAATGTTTTACTAAACCAATGAATACTTGTAGTCCTAATCCAGAGGATTCATATAGTTATAATTACCAGAAGCATGAGCCTTCAGGATTTTGTTTTTACATTAAAGGACTGGATGGAATGGATACAATATTTGAACCAATTATTTATACAAAGAAAAGTGTGAATGATGATATTGCTTCGATATTTGTTTCTAAACTTGCAAAGATAACAAATAGAATTTATAACGATTTTTATTGCTGTCCAAAACTTCTTAGATTAACAAAAGCTGAACAAGAATCCTTTGATGAAGCAAAAATCTGTTATATTTGTAATAAACAATTACTAACTGATAAAGTTAGAGATCATTGTCATTTTACGTCTAGAAATCCATTGATTCTTCCAGTTATATTTCATAATCTTCAAGGGTATGACGCTCATTTGTCTATTAAACAATTGTCTTGTTTAAAAGGTGAACTCACTTGCATACCATCTACAGAGGAAAAATATAGCTCGTTTTCCAAAAAGATTTAAGTTAATGAGTATGTATCTAAATACAATGGAGAAACAGTTTCAGTGTATTTTGAAATAAGATTTATTGACTCTTTTAAATTTCTTCAGACTGGTCTTGCTAATCTTGTTAGAAATCTTCAACCAGATGATTTTCGCAACACAAAGACAATATTTAAAGATAAAACAGATTTGTTAATTCGTAAAGGAGTTTATCCTTATGATTATGTTTCTTCAATTGATATTTTCTCTGAAACACAACTACCTCCAAAATCAGAATTCTATTCTAAACTAAATGACGAAGACATAACTGATGCTGATTACCAACACGCACTCAATGTCTGGAATACTTTTAATTGTAAAACTATGTGTGATTATCATGACCTCTATCTTAAGTCTGATGTCCTCTTGTTGGCAGATGTATTTCAGAATTTTCGAAAAACTTGTCTTCGCCATTATACTCTTGATCCTGCTCATTACTATACATCTCCTGGACTAGCCTGGGATGCGTGCCTCAAAGAAACAGCCCAAGAATTAGAGTTATTACATGATTATGACATGTTAATGATCTTTGAACGTGGAATTCGCGGTGGAATAACTCATATTGCAAAAAGATAAGCAGAGGCGAATAACAAATACATGATCAATTATGACTCTAGTAAACCTTCTACTTACATTCAATATTTAGAAACTAACAATCTCTATGGGTGGGCAATGTCACAACCACTTCCTACACATGGGTTTAAATGGATGAAAGATTTAACTGTAGACTCTGTAATTGATTTGTTAGAGCGCCGAAAGTCAAACAAGGGTTATATATTCGAGGTTGACTTGGAATATCCTCGTAAACTGTGGAAATCACGTAATGGTTATCCTCTTGCACCGGAAAAGACTCTCGTAAATGGAGTGGAAAAACTAATTGGGTCTTTTAGACCTAAAAAAAATACGTAGTAGATTATCGCAATCTCAGAATGTATCTTGAGATGGGAATAATACTAACTGCTGTTCACAGAGGAATATCATTTTACCAATGTTCATGGATGGCGTCTTATATTTAAAAAAATACAGAGCTCAGAAACACTGCAGCAAACAGTTTGGAGAAAGATTTTTTCAAACTAATAAATAATTCAGTATTTGGAAAAACAATAGAAAACATTCGAAAGAGACAAAATATAATATTGGTAGATAACGGAAAGAAAGCTTCACAACTATCAACAAAACCAAACTTTGATCGAGCAGCAATATTGGATAAAAATCTTATTGCTGTTCACATGAAGAAAACTGAAGTGTATTTTAACAAACCAATATATGTCAGACAAGCAATACTGGACTTATCCAAAACACTAATGTTTGATTTTCATTTGGATTACATCCAAAAGAAATACACTGCGACGAAGGAGCACAATGATGCAGCAGAGGGCGCTTTTCGCGCAAAGTTGTTGTTTACAGATACTGATAGCTTGTTGTATTTAATTCATACCGATGATTTTTACAAAGATATATCTAAGGATATAAAGCGAAAGTTTGACACATCTGATTATCCTGAGAGCCACCCATCTGGTATAGAAACAGGAGTTAACAAAAAAGAAATAGGAATGTTTAAAGATGAAGTAGCTGGCCGCCAGATTACTCATTTTGTTGGGTTGAGGCCAAAGCTTTATAGTTTTAAAGTTGAAGGAGGAGGTTTAACCAAAAAGTGTAAGGGAATAAAGAAAAATGTTGTTAAACGGAAAATATCATTTGAGGATTATGTCCAGTGTTTGTTTTCTGGTGAAAGAAAGATGAAGTCGATGAAAATTATTAAAAGTGAAAATCACGATATTTACTCAAAGGAAGTAAATAAAATTGCTTTGAGTAATGATGACAACAAACGCAGTGTGATGGCGGACAAAGTAAATACACTTGCTTTAAGATAGTTAGGTATTAATAAATGGTATATACTAACGAGCAGATAGAAAAATATCTAGAAATAATATATAGATTTAGCCAGGGCTAAAAGCGAAGCTCCCGTTAATAAATTCATAATTTAAATCAAACAGTTAACTTGTAATCCACAGATCAGGGCACATTCATTTGACTTTTGAGGCAGAGGCTGAGCGATTTTAGAGAAAAATCAGAATTTGACCGTCCAAGAGTGAAACAAATTTTACATCAAGTTATTTGTACACCGAAAAATAGCAATCATGTTCGATCACAGTAGATTAGGCCTGGAAAACAAGTAGACCTATTCGTGTAATGTATTTGCATTAGCTGTAGCATCCGATGATAATGTGGCATTCACCAGTCTCTCCAACATTGCTCCGTTAGAGAGACTATGGATAACTGGACAACCCCGAAATATAATTTTAAGAAACACATGCGCCACGATAGTCCTTGGTGGCAGCCAATTTACTCGTTGCATTCCTCTGTCTAAAAGAGAGGCCAAAATAAAAATCAGGCCGGATTTTTTGTGTTCGACAAGTTTAGTTTACTAGTAAATATTGGCGACGAATCTGGTGGCGTGTAAACCAGCCTTTTAAACATACTTTTTCTCATCACGTCTCAGGTAAACAGTACACAGACCTCGGACAGAATTTGTTCTTTTTTGCAATATTTAAACCTATAATTCTGCAGTTTTTCACAATTTTGCAAGAGAATTTGCACTCATTCAATATCCACGTCGATCAAAGCACGCGCTTCCTTTGCACAACAAATTATAGCATTGAATTATAAAACGTTTTCNAAGTGTATTTTAACAAACCAATATATGTCAGACAAGCAATACTGGACTTATCCAAAACACTAATGTTTGATTTTCATTTGGATTACATCCAAAAGAAATACACTGCGACGAAGGAGCACAATGATGCAGCAGAGGGCGCTTTTCGCGCAAAGTTGTTGTTTACAGATACTGATAGCTTGTTGTATTTAATTCATACCGATGATTTTTACAAAGATATATCTAAGGATATAAAGCGAAAGTTTGACACATCTGATTATCCTGAGAGCCACCCATCTGGTATAGAAACAGGAGTTAACAAAAAAGAAATAGGAATGTTTAAAGATGAAGTAGCTGGCCGCCAGATTACTCATTTTGTTGGGTTGAGGCCAAAGCTTTATAGTTTTAAAGTTGAAGGAGGAGGTTTAACCAAAAAGTGTAAGGGAATAAAGAAAAATGTTGTTAAACGGAAAATATCATTTGAGGATTATGTCCAGTGTTTGTTTTCTGGTGAAAGAAAGATGAAGTCGATGAAAATTATTAAAAGTGAAAATCACGATATTTACTCAAAGGAAGTAAATAAAATTGCTTTGAGTAATGATGACAACAAACGCAGTGTGATGGCGGACAAAGTAAATACACTTGCTTTAAGATAGTTAGGTATTAATAAATGGTATATACTAACGAGCAGATAGAAAAATATCTAGAAATAATATATAGATTTAGCCAGGGCTAAAAGCGAAGCTCCCGTTAATAAATTCATAATTTAAATCAAACAGTTAACTTGTAATCCACAGATCAGGGCACATTCATTTGACTTTTGAGGCAGAGGCTGAGCGATTTTAGAGAAAAATCAGAATTTGACCGTCCAAGAGTGAAACAAATTTTACATCAAGTTATTTGTACACCGAAAAATAGCAATCATGTTCGATCACAGTAGATTAGGCCTGGAAAACAAGTAGACCTATTCGTGTAATGTATTTGCATTAGCTGTAGCATCCGATGATAATGTGGCATTCACCAGTCTCTCCAACATTGCTCCGTTAGAGAGACTATGGATAACTGGACAACCCCGAAATATAATTTTAAGAAACACATGCGCCACGATAGTCCTTGGTGGCAGCCAATTTACTCGTTGCATTCCTCTGTCTAAAAGAGAGGCCAAAATAAAAATCAGGCCGGATTTTTTGTGTTCGACAAGTTTAGTTTACTAGTAAATATTGGCGACGAATCTGGTGGCGTGTAAACCAGCCTTTTAAACATACTTTTTCTCATCACGTCTCAGGTAAACAGTACACAGACCTCGGACAGAATTTGTTCTTTTTTGCAATATTTAAACCTATAATTCTGCAGTTTTTCACAATTTTGCAAGAGAATTTGCACTCATTCAATATCCACGTCGATCAAAGCACGCGCTTCCTTTGCACAACAAATTATAGCATTGAATTATAAAACGTTTTCTGTTAGAAAAATCTGGTCCTATGTGATATGCAGGGTAATAATTATGGGCTTTTAATGAAAACGATAAAAAAAAATTCCCAAAATCACTTTTCGGCCAGCCGGACGGGTCCTCACTTTTGGCAGGCACCAAATTTGCAGTGCGATTAATAGAGTTACCATTACGCTTCAACATGATAGAGAAATTGTTATGTTTAGGTTTTATTTCCCTTTATTCATTAAACTGTGCATGATTTTGTTATGTGTAATCTTTCAAAGCGAGTGATATTTACGCGCGGCGTTTTGAGTATTCTTACCAGGGAGGCCCACGACTCCAATACCGCCTGGTACTTGTCTCGTATACCTATGATCCACCGATTTATGACATCACATCCGGTTGCAGAGTTGCTGCTCTGTTCTGGCGCGAAGCACCAAGATGGACGCCTGATGCTATTTGGTTTCTTCGTTCTTGTAACCATCAGGCTAACGGAATTATTTATCTTGATTGCCGAGAATGTTGAGAAGGTATCTAGCCGGCCTTTCAAGCAAATGTCATGACCAAACAAAGAAGATTTAGTATTATTTTAATGATAAATATCATGCAGCTGCGGGGAATGTCATGGCGAGTCTTACGATGTTTCAAAACGAGTATCGTTAACGTTTTGCGGCTGTTGAGGCCTCTGATTTAGAGAAGTCATCAATCAAAATATAATTTGCTGAGCGGAATAGAATGGGGAAAACGTACTCTACGGCCACAGTTTAAAGTGTTGACCGCTCGAAACTTCCACTAAACTGCATGGTTTTGTTTGTAATCGAGCGTCACTCAAGAGTTTGGCTTTCGCGGCTTCTGATTCATCGAAGTCATCAATCAAAATTGCCTATCCTGAGCGAAATACCGTGGGGAAAAAGCTTGTGGTCATAGTTTAAAGTGTCAACTGCTTGAAGGCGTTATCACTCGACGTAAAGTTGCTGAAAGCTCTACCCAACTGTCCTGTTATGGCGAGGTTTTCTCTGTCTCAAAACGAGTGTCCGCTTAAGGGTTGGCTGTTGTAGCTTCTGATTTACCGAAATTTGCAAACAAAATAGCCTATCCTGAGTAGAATAGAATGGAGAAAAGGCTGATGGTCACAGTTTAAAGTGTTAATTGCTGGAAGGTTTTATCACTCCTCGTAAAGTTGCTCAAAGCTCTTCTCGACTGTACGGTTTGAGCAATGTAATGGTGTGTCTTTCTCTGTGTGTAATCAAGCGTCACTCAAGATTTTGGCTTTTTCATCTTCTGATTAACCGAAGTCATCAATCAAAATACCCTATCCTGAGCGAAATACCGTGGAGGAAAAGCCTATGGTCACAGTTTTAAGTGTTAACAGCTGGAAGGCTTTGCCACTCGACGTAAATTTGCTGTGTAACACACCTGAAAAGAAACCCTTGTGCACTGCTAGTCATATTGTCAAAATGACTAGTTTGAAATTAATCCTCATCTTAACCGATAACTACAACACTTATTTAAAAATGTATCACTCCTGAACACGTGTTGATTGGTTCTAGATCTTTAAAGTTGAAAAAAAAAACTATGATTTACAGAGATTATAGTTATGCAATAAATTAGTAAATTAAAAAAGAACGAATTTAAAGTGAAAACCAAAACAGCTGTTTTAACTGTTTTAGACGTTTGAAGATCTGGAGGGATGACTAGAGCTGTAATATGAGACTCAATAAGAGGTCTAGTTACTTTAGAACACGTTAGAACAAATGTATAAGTTTTCCTGCAGCAAAACACATATTTTGGCTTGGTAATTAATAGTTGTATTTCTTGATGTAAACTGCATGCTATGAATTATTAATAAGTGTCAGTTAGGGTCATTCATAATGCTGTACTGCACCTTATTTTATCTTACGATTATCTAAGATATAAAAATGAATTTTGTGTATAATTAAAGACTTGCATGAATATAAGCCTACTTTTGAATTTATAGACAATATATATTTAAATCCTACACTGTAAGTCTGGTTGTCAGTGTAGCCTGTGGTGCAGACATAATCTATTGCCAGTTAGTAACATCTGAAAAGCCGTGCCAATTCTGGGCTGCCAATCCCAATGTGTTTCGATATTCCCTTCAACCTGATTGGCACACTGATAATGGTATTTTTAAGAGGCCAATCATTGCACATATGCAAGTGCTAGTTCACAGGTGGGCCACGGGGTACCCAGAACCAGGATTTCAGTGCTGTCTCACAGGGGGACTTAACCAGAAGTTTGGTTCTGTCTGTGGCACAGGTTAGTCCTCTGGGCATTAATGTTTAAATTATGTATTTTATTTTGCATAGCTTAGAAGACAAAAATAGACGACAGAAGAGCACTAATAAGAGAATATCAAGAAGTATTAAAAAGTATGTCTACCACACAACTTGTAAAGAGAGATGAAAGTCCATGAGGATAGAAATGTTGTTACAGAGCCATAAAACATAAATGTTGAGTACAACTCGCTTTCAAATAAGATAAAAGGGGAATACACTTTTTCTGGTTTACAGAAAATCTGTAGCAACAGAAGACGCTGAAATCATGTTGAGCTGGTTCAGGATGTTAATTCTGTTTAGATGGAATCATCTGACAGTTTCTAGGCCAGTGTACAGTAGTGTGCTTCGAAGCTGGTTCTTGGTAAGACATCTCCTGACTTTACACGCCAACTCTCTTTCAAGGACCTCAAGGCTAAGTGTCTGTTTCCCTGACATTCACTTTCTTGTCAGGGATCAGCAAAGTTTAACTGTGTTAACTGTAGTTTT